CCGCCCCACGGTGTCGGCCGCCAACGACTGGGACGCGTTGGAGCAACGCGCGCGCCAGCTGGCGCAGGAGCTGCAGGCCGAGCTGAGGACGCGAACGCGCTGACCAGCGGCCGCTTTCTCCTCCAGCGAATCATTTAACCCAATGCTTGAGTTATAACATTTTAGGGCCCGGAATGCACCCCAATTAATTATTAATTTAAAGAAATAGTTATATATTAAAATATAATTTAATAATTATAAACAACATTTAAATACAATTGGTAACAGTGATAGTACTGGGTCTATGTGAATATAATAATTATTGTAGGAAATTAAAAAAAATTGGGTTTATAAAGATATATTCTTTTTTACTAATTATGTTATTACATTCGTAGAAATAATATAGTTGGGTGGAAAATTAATTTTGAGTTTACAAACTTTGGTCAAACTGAAAATTTAATTTGCCAATTGTTTGTCCTCTGCTCTTTATCTTCTCCCCCCCCCCCTCCCCTGAGGTACCGGAACAACGTTCCGCCGTTATCCGTCAGAAATCGAGCCGTAATTTAATCCGTAAGCCCCGATTCACACACTTCTTTTAGACCAACGATTTTTTTATATCGAACGCGCGCATACGCACAGTGGCTTCTGGAGTGACAAGCCTCTACGCGCATAAGCTAAGGGTGCCTTCACACGTAGTCACTCGGAGGCGCCACCGAGAAGCGTCAGAGCCCTTCAGACAGACCGCGAGCGAAGAAGGTTTCGTGAATCACACCTCTGTGGGCTCAGGTGACCGCAAGAGAGCAGCAGAAATAATCGGTTCAGTGGCGCGTCTAATGTGGATGCTGCCATTTAGAACTGTGTTTTGCTAGCAGTGGTGCAGACGCACGTCTGCGCTGCTGATAAGGCAACTACGCCACTCTTGTGAATATCTCCATTTAAATCAATGCTTTGCCAGCAGACGCGCCAGTTAGAAGCGCTGTTGAGTGGCGCAGTGAGAAGGAGCTCTAAAACACCCGAAATCATTCGTCAAAAAAGAAGCGTGTTAATCGAGACCAAGAGTCGCCTACCTGGGAGGGGGGCAGAGATAGATGCCAGGGTATTTTGTCCGTTCGATCTTTGTTTCGGTAAGGTGTAATTGTTTCTTAGTTTAGAACTTTTATTATAAAAGAATCTTTCTAACTCTAAGTGGTAGATTTGTCTTCTCAACACTTTGAATGTTTACAAATCATTTTGAAACAATCACCATGCGTAACTGCTCAATGCTGTTCAGTAATTGAAATCTGGCGTTCTCTTAACGTACAGCCATGAACACATTGCAACATTACGTATCTGACGATATTGAGAAAACTTAAGTGACTTCGAATTAACATGGTAATTGTTGAAATATTTTTTTAAGGCGATGCCATATATTTCCCAACAAAAATGACCTCAAGACCAGAAGATTGTGGAGTGCGTGTTCAAAATATATATGCCCTTGATGAGCCCCAAACGTTAAAATATATTTCAGTTGTAACTTGCAGAAAATGTATGTAACAGATTGCTAAATACACGCATCATTAGTTCTTTAGTATAAATATTTTCTTTCAATTATTTTCCAATTTATTCTGGGGTTCACTGGTGTTCTCCGTGTGCCGGAATTGCGTTGGTTTGCAAGTTAATTTTTAGACAGCCAAAGCGGCTCTTTCAACCATGCACAACCTTTCAACCTTTCACACCATGCCTAGCGTGCTATAAGTACAATTTTAGCTCAATGTGCGATCTTCAAGAATTCTGATAAATCTGTGAATTCAACAAAAAAACTTTCGCCTGACCAGAAGGACCAAAAAACCAAAAAGAACAAAGAGACAGGAAGGAAAAATGGACAAAATGTCAGTAAGGCTGTCTAAAAAGTGGTGTATAACACAAGTGATAAAAGTGGTTTTATATTTGCTCCAGGATTGCGCCACTCGGCCTCGTGTCGCAACCCTTCCTACTCGCAAAATAAAACTTAAGTAAACATTTCGAAACCGGGTGCTTAAATACCTATTAAATAGTTGCGTGGGGGTGCATCATCTCCGAACGAAGAACGAGGCTGTCCTGGAAACGGCAACTGTGCTTAGACGCGATCTAAGCACGGTTGCTCGTAAACTGAAACTGAGACCTTCTTCAGGGCGACTGCGAACCGAATATGACCGAAACGTAGGTAATTATGCCTAGGTTGCGATGCCACCCAGAGAGCTAAGGGGAGAGCTCCCATTGAGATATCATCTCTGGATAGTTTTAATTAAACATAGTTCAGTTTCTTTGTAATTATCAGTTCCTTTCAACAAAATGCTGGCATCCCTTGAATTCACATGCATTGATTATGACAGGAGAATCTTGAAATTATTACATAACTATAATACATTGAAAAATTGTTTTGCCGTATAAGTATGAGTAAAGTTAATAAAAATTGAAAACAAGCATAAGTCGGCAAAAAGAAATTAAAAAATTATGAATTTTGTTTTTTGAATAGAAAACATAAACTAAATTATATAATTCCTAGTTATCATAAGTAGTAAAATATGTTATTGGTGTTTAGGTGATGTAATTTTGCATGTAAAATAATTAGCATTCAATAACATGTATTAGGCATTACAATACAGTCAGGGTTGGGCAGTATTTAAATACATAAAATGTGTATTTAAATAAAAAGGTACTTAAAAATCTTCAAATGCAGATGAAGGAGAAGATATTGAAGATAGTTTCTTTTTGTTTGATTCTGCTAGTGAATGCACCTCACTGATACAAAAATAAAAGATCCTTTCACCTGGTGAATTTCAGTTCTCTTCATTTTTAAATGATAAATCTAAATCATTAAAATGCTAAAAACAGTTTATTCTTTATAACACTACACTATGTTCATTCGCACTAGTTGAACAACTGTTTTCCTTTGCAAGTTTTATACATTCACCAACTAGGGTTTCATTGCCTGATTATTTACTTGAAAAATTAGTCATTTTAAAAGAAAATTCCATTTATTTGTGTTAGACATATTTTATATTTGGAAGTGATTATAATACACGTAGATTACAATTAGTTATTACTCAGAAATTTGTATGACTGTCAATTACTAATTTATTGTAATTGACAAATTACAATATATTGTTGTAATAAAAAAGATATAATAAAAACATATTATATTTACTCTATTTTGAGCATTTAAAGTATGTTAAATACATATGTATTTAGCAAATCTAAACGTAATATATTTTGAGCATGTATTTAAATTCTTATTTACAAAGTATTTTGGTGAAGTATTTAAATTTAAAGTATTTTGCCGAACCCTGAATGTAGTAACAATTATGTTCAATGTAGAATTACAGTGAAGCCCTCTATGTAACGATTTTTAAGGGACCATGAATTCTGAACATTGTATGGAGGAAAACACAATAAAGAGGAAGACTGCATATGAGCCTTTGGTCAGGACCATAAAAAATTGACATAACATTGAGGAATACATTATATGGAGGAACAATATAGAGAAGTTTCACTGTATGTAGAATAAATGGAGACATTCTTTAGTCTTTTATATATGCAACTATCCTTCATTAATAAAAATTGTTTAATATCATTTTTACATCGAAGAGCAATTGTCCCTAGCTTTATGGAAATCCAGAAACCTACTTTCTCTTTACAATGGAAAATTTCTGCCTAGTATCTTTTCTTTTCAAATTTTGTTTATGGGGTTTCTAGTGTTAGGTGTAAAAGATTTAATTTATCTAGCTCTCTACTCATTCAAAAATTGAATGTGTGTTATTTCTTATATACTTCTCACTGATGCAAAGAATGATTGTTCAAGTGATTCATCCCATAAGTGTAAAACATAAAAATGATATTCTTGGTCTACACTATCATTCATAAGATACAGAACATTCATTTTCAAATGATAATTTTTATGTTAAAAGTACTCGTAGAGAGTCCAGTTCAGTACATTTCTAGAATATTACAATTCTAAGTTTTCAAATTATAAGTGGTTGAAAATCAATTGAATGCACAAAGTTGAATATTAATTTAAGCCAAAATTTTGTTTAAATCAAGATTTTAATTTGTTGATGAAAGTTTGTGATTTTGACATTCCTTTGAACATAATTTAAACAATTAGAAGCACTTTCAAAATTTTCAGGGTGGCCCTGTAGGTTTCTCCTGGCACCATGGACACACCTGTGCTCCAATTAATAAGCACACAAATAATAATTTTTTTAACCATGCAAATTAAATGCAGTTTCTCTCTAGTCCATATTCTCATTTCTGTTTACCGTCAATTATTGTACTAGGTTTTGAGACTTTGGAATCCTTTAAAGTCAGGTAAAATGTATTGAAGTCATAGATAAATATTGAATATGTTTCGTATAAACTAATACTCCATTCCTCAAAACAAGAATTTATTATTTTTCAAATAATTTATAAACATTGAATTTTGATGAGAATGTAACCATTTCACTTCAACTTCCATGTTTTGATTTCATGAATTAAAGTTTTCATTAAATTGAAATAGTTATATTTCAACAAATATTACATAACTTTTTTCAAGAAGTTTGTGATAAGATGTCATCAGGTATCAATATTTTTATCATACCGAAGATCTTTTTGATCGTACAGCAATCATCATTGTAGGTAATCAGAAAATTACAAGATTTATAGAATAGAATACATGAAATATAAATTTAAGTATAAACTGAAATTATACAAATTATTTACAAAATGTTATGTAACATAGTATGCTATATGCATTATGCTGCTGCATAAGCAAACTGGATTGTACATACCTTACATCATTTGATTGGAAAAAAAGTTCTGCAGTTTATTGAGAGTGCAACTTATTTAAGAAGACAGAGTGACAGTTGGAAGCATGAGAGGACAGGTCAGAGGTGGCGTGGCTGAAGAGTTGAGAGAGACAAGGCTGGTGGTGGAGGCAGGAGGAGGGGGAGAGTGAGTAAAGGTGGGTGTAGTTAGGGGTACACATTGAGCTAATTTTAGTAGAAATGACACGAGTTTAGGGATTTGCTGAAAAGTAATCTGACATATAATGTTACATAACACTTTGTATATAATTTGTACGATTTCAATTTATAATTCAATTAATTTTTCATGTACTCTATTCTATAATCCTACAATTGCTGCAATTTTTAGATTAGCCTTGATGATGTTCAGTAAGCAATCTTCAGTTTAATAAAAACATTGATACTCGATATCTTTTCTCAAATTATTAGAAGGTATCTATCTCACCAGTGATATTGTTAATAATTTTTTCAAGTGGATTATTTTTTAACTGGGCACGGGCAGATGAGGAAAGGCATCAAGGGCCCTCTGTTCCAGTGACAGTGACAGTGACATATTTCACCTGAACTGACATCACATCAGTTTGAAAGGAAAAAAGAAGAATTATTGAAAGAATCTGAAAAACTGAACAATAGAAGCTGGAAAATTTATCATTTGAGGCTTCTCTTGACACCAATCCATACCAAATTATAATTGCCAGCTTGAGTTTTCATAACAAGGAAGCATTAAAAAAAAAAAGGAAAAAGAAATATTGCCAACAAAGCTTTTTATTTCAGCACAACAATATAATGAATAATAAGTATAATAATACTGTATATATGGAGAAAACTGGAAATGTTTTACTCAAACGAGTGACAAACAGTATAACCATGTTCATGTACTGGACAAATCCCAGCATTGACTTGCAAGTTTGATAATTTGATGTAGTTATAACAACTGTACATACGCAAAAATACCACGTCCATACTATGCCCACAAGCCACTTTTGAGAGCACTGAAAAAAATTCTTTGAGAAATTCATTTTCACAGAAAAACCAGCAAGTTCAATGACAATTCTTTTACACAATGAAAAGGCACCTTTTTGCACACATTACTAAAAATGGCAATTCATTTCACCAAAAGAGGTAGAAAAATTTAACAGCAAAACATTTAACTATGTTCTTATAATAGCCCATTACTATGTATAAATAATAATGAGGCAATATGCCTGCTCACCTTATATATGGAAAGTACTTATTTATCAATTGGGGCACTGTCAGCTAGCCATTATCTACAGTCTGTTGACAGAACGCATTGACAATTACTTGTTTAGTAACTTATTGCTAGAATTGGGGTCAAAACATAATTGAGAGGAAGTATTAGAGTTTGGGAGATCAAAATTTAAATATTGTTGCTTCTTAAAACACTATATTGCAGCAGCAGAAATAAAGTCTCCAGCTGCAACTCCTGAATAGTTTTCTCTAAGCCTTTATTTTCCTGAAAATAAACTTTGGGTGTTTGCTTGCTCTGAGTAGTTACAATCTTCTTGAAAAATAATGGTACATTAGAAGAGTCTTCCTCCCCTCACCAGGTTATTTACAGTTATTCCTAAAACATGCTGACCCAGGCATTGCTGAACAGTATTATGATGTGGAATGAGAAGACTCAACTTGGATTTCGTCATCTATGGACCTTGTAAATGGCTAGCTACTAGTTTCAATAGCAACAATGTTAAATTTCTTTCTTGTTTTCTTACTGTAAAGGACATTTGCCATGTATTTTCAACATAGTGGAAGGCTATGATACTTAATATTTAATGAGTAAATGTACACAATTCTGCAATTCATTAATGTCAGTTTAAGTACATAAATACTTTCTTGATTGTTTAACTCATAACAATTCCCTACAGCAAATGTTAATAAACCAGCACAATAAACGACACACATAGATCATATCACACTAATTATTCACAGTATTTCAATATGTTACAAAAGTGCAATAATATATTTTGTATAACAGTTGTATATACACTTACAAAAAACTAAAGTCATAATACACTGAACATAAAAGATTGATTTGAACGAAGTGAAAAAGTCGCATGAAAGTAAGATAGACTGATAAATGACATTATTCACAACATTGGCATGAATTAGTATTGTTTATATTTAACAGTTTCCATCAAGAATTCCAATATACCCTCTGATGCATGGTATATTTGCGTATGACATGGCAATTTACTTGTACAGGTACACTAAAATGGGAAGAGCCAATGCTCTCTAATAAGAAAGATGCAAGTTTTATCAAATGTAAATAAAACCAATAGGTTGTTTTCCCACTCATGTAGCTCCGGTGCTACGACCATGAGCACCAAACAGTTCCAACAGTTTCCTGTTGTGACAATGAATTGGATATCTAAATCTTGTAGAACTACCTGAGGCGGTGGTCTAATCTATATGGAGGCTAAAGTGCCTTAGGGAGACACAGTTGACAAGTTTGAAGTAAATTCAAAAGTTTTAGGCCACATGATGTCATATTTTTGTAACATTTTTGTTTTTCTGAACTGACTTTTGACATTCCACTTCTCTCCTGCATTCAGACTACTCACACAACATTACACACACACACACACACCCTGATCACATTCATGAACTTGCATGAATGCGCTTTTCCAGGGAGGCATTTTGTCTCACAGTTTCACCTTTCAGTATTGTGCTTTTTAAATTTTCTGAGTAAATGAAACTAATCTACATAATAATTACAAAGTATCTTGAAGGACCTCCCAAAATTGTATGAATTTTAATTTTCATCACACAACCATCATTTTATTTTTAAACAATTAAAATAAGTTTATGGCTCAAATTATTTGTCTTCTGCAACCAGTTGCATTATATCATATGTTCTTTTAAATACACACTTACAGACATGATGAAAGTATGGCATGCTTATATACACAAGGACAACAAGAGATTGTATTTAAACAGAGAAACCGAGAGGTTTAGGGTCATGAGACAGGTGGATATGGTTTATTTGGAGATATAAATATCTACCCATTAATGGATAAAATTTAAAATTCCTCAACACTCTGCATTGTGACAGTGTAATACTAGTCAGATGGCAAAACCAAACAATACTAAGTTCCATTGTCACAAGGCAAAGATAATTTGAAAATGCTAAACAACAGTGTAATATATAATGCGAAAATTGGGTTAGGGATCAGTCCCATCTACACATCAGCAAGGAAGGGAGGTAGAATGAAGATTTTTACTTAATCACAGACAAAAAGGACAAATGACCCAAAACACACAAATAAGTCTATAACAATTATTATTTATCTTTATTAATCTTATTAAAGTGAGTTGTCTCATGATGATAAGATATGCCCAGCCTCAATCACTCCCAGGTTCTCTAGTGAGGTGCCAGATGGGAGAGAGGCTGCATGGCAACTGCCTGACAACATTAACACAAGTGACGGCAGAATTCTGGCCATGGCCACATATGGAATTATCTGCAATAAATTGCATACATAGGTGAAATAACTTCTTATTTCAAGGAATTCCATCTATGAGACATATACTATATGGAAACATTAAAGAAAAGAAAAAATGGTAACAAACATACAGTCAATAGATAATTTATTACAAAATAAACACATACACAATAGTATTGTAGTGCTTACCATCCATTGCACTACATGTTATTTGCTTCCTGTGCAAGTTTCTGTTTAAATTGCACTGTTTCATCAAATATGTATTTCTTCAGAGTTTCTTTCGGAAGATCGTCCAACTCCATGGAAAAACGGAATGGCTCTTCAGCAACAGGCTATAAAGCAAACAAGCATGTATATTAATTAGCAGAAATATCCCACCAGGACATGAGATAAGTTCAAATGTGTATAAAATCAAAGCACAAAGTTTTACATTGATTAAATTATTTTCATTTGAACTATGTTGTGATGATTAACCATCTTTTAAGAAAAATATATTTTGTTTTTTAGCATAACTATAGGCTTACTTACACAAAACTATAAATAAAAAGATGTACTATCCATATTGTATCTTTCACATAAGTTTTTACTGACTGAATAAAACTCCCAATAACTCTCATCAAGGGTACTGAAATTAACTTTGGAATCCAAAGTGATACATAGGACCTCTTAATAAAATTCAGAAATTACATTACTTAACTATTTATAATTTATAATTTAATTGTGTGAAATAATAAATGTGACAAATAATGCATGAAGAACTGTAATGAATTTTATTTTATTGATCTGATAACTGTATCAGTCATTTAATTTTTATTTATTTTCAGTATTTTATAATATTAGATAAGATTATAAAATGCTGAAAATAAATAAAAATAAAATTACATTAAATTTATTTTATTTAATTTAAGCTTTGGTGGGGTTCTTTAATTGACATCATCTGTCCATCTGTCTGACCAAGAACAAACTCATCTAAACTGCAGATGGATTTTTGATAAAATTGTTATTCCCAGATTGTTCTCGCTAATGTCGGCACCCTGGCATTGAATTTGAAATGGATACTGTAATTTTGGGGGTTCATCCAAATTGATTGCATCCAATGTACATTTGAACATAAAAATAATAAATAATAATAATAATAATAATAATAATAATAATAATAATAATAATAATAATAATAATAATAATAGATTCTGAGAATAGCGGTCGGTCGGTCGGTCGGTCGGTCGGTCGGTCGGTCGGTCGGTCGGTCGGTCGGTCGGTCGGTGAAAATTATATTGTCATCTGTGTATTATTCCATCACAGTGCAACCTGATTCATACCTCTTAGTTTATGAATGCAACTTTTCACTGAGCTAACATAGGAAAAGCGGTCGAATACAGCCCATTTATTTACATCATTGTCTTTAAAGCACGCCTAAATTTGCTACACCTGATACAATGTGAATTGTATATCTTACTATTCAAAGAAACTATTTCAATCCAATAATGAACAGAATTTAAAAATAAGGTTTTTTTAAAATTAATTTAGATTGACTTTGTACTTATTAACCAGTTTTTGAAATCCAGTACGAAAAATCAACCAGTTTTCGAAATCCAGTATGAATAATCAACCAGTTTTCGAAATCCAGGTGATGATTCATTGTGAAATTTCTTGTTATAAAAAATTATAACATTTAAAAGAAAATAATTTATGTGAATTTTATGGGACATAATTAAGGTATTGTGTCACTAAAAAGGAATATTTTATTCTACCTAGACCTTCTTGGATACCAACATTGATCGGACTGTGTACCACTAATGAATTGCTTTCCACTAGTCGAGAAGTATTGCTCTAAGAGAGGCATTGGAGACACGGCCAACGCATTCATCCATCTTGAACATGAAAGAGCTTCTTACCTCATCAGCAGGATCATAGTACTGCTCCAGGTAAGGATGAGCCAGTGCGTCTTCAACACCTATCCGATTGTGAGGATTGAAGGTTAGCATTTTGTCCAACAAGTCCAATGCCTTTGGATCAGCATTGGGAAAGAGTTTGACCCACGGAACTTTGGGCTTGTATGGCAACGACTGCAGGTAACTCCGGGCTTTCTCGTTTATAATACATTCCAGATCTTCTGGTGTTGGAGAGCCCAAAACTCCCAGGATATGATTTAGCTGATCCAAGTAATGCTTTCCAGGGAAAATTGGTCGGTTGGATAACATCTCTGCTAGAATACAGCCTACTGACCAGATGTCAATGGATTTGGTGTAGCCCTAAACAAATCAAAGAATAGTATTAATTAGTTTATTGCTGTTGTTTGAGTCCACAAATTCATTTTCTCTTCCTTTCTTGAATCATTTGTAACTAATACAAAACAGTAACAAGACACACTTTTTAGACAAGATAATATTAGACTAATAAATTAAATTATTATCACCAAAATGTTGGAAATTCATTTCAATTACAGTTTACACAAACATTTCTGATATACATAAACATAGACACTGTCACATATAAACTGTTACTTAACATATTTTTCAATACTTTAAACATTAGGACAATGGACCAACTGACCCTGTGGGTTATAAAAAGCAACACATAAAGCATGTAAATGGCAATTTCAGGAAGACATGTTACAGAGATGAGCAAGTTGAAAAACTGAACATAAGTAAAAGGACAAACACTTCCAAAATGTTTTTTTCTGAAATAAAAGAAGAAGAAAACAAAAATAAAAGCACCAATTGACAAATTAAATAACTCTCACGCAAAACCTAAACAACACTCAGCTCTGGAAATACACAGAACACACTCAAAATTGCCAAGTTACCTTCGAATTCAGCATAATCTCGGGTGCTCGATACCATCGGGTGGCGACATATTCAGTCAAAAATCCAGTGTGGTCGTGATCAGGATCCGCTACTCGAGCAAGGCCAAAATCGCAAATCTGGAAGCAGAGCACAATGATGTAGAATCTAATTTGAAGAGAAGATACACAGTCCATATCAATTTCAACCAATAGTATAACACTTTGAATTACAATTAGCACACAAGATTAATTGTAACAATGCAACACACATACAGAGAACAACACAAATTATAGTTCCTTCTTCAAGAACTGTGTATCATCGCACAAAAAGAGGTACCTCATAACTAATAAAGCTTTTTCAACTATCAAACACCTGCATAGTGACACTGTCTGACTAATTGGCAAACATAGTAATGCAAGCTCAGAAAACATGCAGAAGCCACGATTCCATCATGAAGAAACATTTACTGATATGTACAAATGTTCAATGATCTTGTGAATTGGTTCATTCATTACAACATTTCATTTGAATAGTTGCAAACTAGGATATTAAAAGATAAAAGTATGTTTCTAGAAGATGAAATTCATAACAATTCAATAAAGTGCAGACAGTGAAAATTACAAAACAAAATTTCCAGTCAGGCAACTTCATGCTGAATGGCCATTTGATGATTCAGGCTGATTTCTATCCTAGCATCCGAAACACAGTGACAGTTTCCAATGCACAGGGTTGGAAAAAGGTAAAGAAGTTTCAACTGAAATCATTATCACCTTAATATCAAAAGTTTGCCCTTCCTGATTTATGAGAATAATGAAATTTTAAGTTCAGCAGAATTGGTTTGAGCAATCTTGAAGAAAAACACTCTCTTTTAATTTTTCTACGAAATCAATTAATTGAAAAATATTTCCCCAACCCTGACAGGAACCAAAACTACAGATAAATAACAGAAATAATTCGAAACATGGAAGGCGAGAAGCAAATGAGATGGAAACTCACAGTGATTAGGCAACAACGTAAGCCAGTGGCTCGGATGGGTGGGTGGGGCATGAAACCAGTGGGGGCAGTTGCACAGGCAATGCGAGCCTGAAAAATGGGAATTCGAAACTTGCCATCAGCTCAAAGGTCCAGCAGTAAAGTATGTGGGCAATGGAGGTACTTCTAATTTGGAAAGAGATGTCATTCAAATGACACTGGAGGGAGAAGTGCAGAGATTAAAGAGGAAAAAATGCATACCTTCAAGAGCCATACGAAACAAAAACATAGTGCCTAGGCTATAGACTTCTGAGTGAAAAGAAGGGGTTAGAAGAGCCCCCGACAATTTGTCACGCAAGAAAGAACTCATGCAGAGCAGTGATTTACCTTGAGATCACACGTAGTGTTGAGAAGAAGATTACTTGGCTTCAAGTCTCGATGCAGAACATTTGCTGAATGAATGTACTTGAGGCCACGGAGTATTTGGTACAGAAAGTAGCAAATGTGGTCGTTACTAAGCCTCTGTAACACACATACACAATCAATGAAATACCACTGCTGAAATAGTTTGGGAAAGGATTGATGGGATGTAGTACTTCTTAAAAGGTTTGTTAGTTTATTTTTTAAAAAAATTACATTTCTTAAAAGGACTCATTACAGTAAATTAATAGTAAGGTTATTTTGTTGATCAATTCATTGTTTCACTTCCTCACATAGTTCTTACTTAGTATAGAGAAAGTACGTAACGCAAAAACGGCATTTTGTGAGGCCTTCAAGCAGGAAAAGTGAATAAATATTTTTCCAATATGTAGTAAATTACTCCCTCTAACACATTAGATAGTCAAAATGTTTTTGAGGATGTTGTTTGGGTTTAAGATACTGAAAAATTGGTTTACGGCCAAACATCAGTCTGTGAACAACGCTAGCAGAGTAACAGCTGGTAACTAAAACCAAAAGTAGGATTTTCTCCAAAATTTAGATTCCCCCATCGATATATGACATGTCTTGGCTCCTTCAATATGAGACGGATATTCTTTTGCGGATAGTTAACCTCGTATCTCACCTGCGTCTTAAGAAGCTTATAGAGGTCTGTCTCCATGAGGCATTGGACGATGTACACGTCCTTCATCTGGTCGATTGTTACCGCCCGAAGGATATCTCTGATATCTATGATCTGCAATGCAACAAGACACATAAATCAATATATTACGAAGAATTTGTCCATTACAAGATAAGAGGTGTGGAAATTGCCGCGTTGAACGCTGTGAAACCGCTGAATGACTAAGCCAATGAGTCGATGGTAACATAGAGCATACAATATTTATCAATTCTTTAGATGATTTTATTGCAAATTACATCCACGTCATTATTTTCACTATGAAATGTGATTTATACTTCAATATTTGAGTGGCCTGTCAAGGTCACACACGAAAAAGGAAGCTACAACGTTATATCAGCTCCCACTTTTATGGCTACCTATATGAGCTACCTATACCTATACCTGCCTTTTTCGTGCGTAGCCTTGACAGGCCACTTAAAAAATCGAAGTGTAGTGTGCTACTGCACAAAGTTGCACATGAAGGGGAAAGTACTTTCTTGTGTCATTAATTATAAGGGACACACACACACACTATTTCATTTTTTAAATGGAAGTTCATTCTTTCCCCAAGGGCATTCTAAGGATCTCGAAGGGGGGGGGGTATGGTTGGTGCTTATTATTTTGAGAGAAGCTTCTGCAACAATGCATCCGCAATTTACTGAACAGTCACGAGCTTCACGCGTTTCAGGGTGGAGGAAAGATCATTTGTCCTTTCTCACAGCCATAGCACAAACCTCTGAATCCGAGTGCTCGTGTTTTGGTAGCCTGACACCTCTTATACGAATACTAGAGCCGTGAGGTCGTATGGAAGTTATTCCCCCCCCCCTTTGACCTCAGAGGGCACGAGCTTGAAAATATTCTCTATTCGGAAATTTGAAACTACAATCTATTATATTCCAGCAAGGAAACGAATAATAAAAAATAACTGGGAAGTGAATACTGATGTTTATTGTTTTGTAAGCTAAATGTTAAGCAATTTTTGCCGCCACAAAAACAATTGCGAAACTGTGCGTTGACTATGCAGATTTCTGTAGCGTTTAACTGCATGAGATCTTATGAAAAAGCATGGAATTTGTAGCTGCTGAAGAAATGATTGACATTGAAATGATTTTTGCAAAAGCTGCTTTCCGAAAATACAATGCACACAGAATGTCTCATTTTATAGGCACACTGAAGGTGACAACGTAGAGTACGGCAAGTAGAGGGTCCGGTGTTAATTTTATAGGCGGCTATAGCTTTATAATATTTTATTTTGTAAAAAATCGTATGACTAAACTGTTCATTTCGCGTTATGACAAAAATGTTCTACTCTACACAATGTATCAATTTACTATCACATCGACAGTTCCACGATGATAATAATGCCGATTTGATAATATTTATTGAGTCACATACACAATTTGGTTGTATCGAGTTCGACGAGTCAAAAATAGTGTATTCTGAGGAAGTACAATTGCGGACATGTTCTCTTGAGTTTCGGATCGGATATCTGAATATACTGTTGATAAATAACTCATCACTCCTCTCGCGCCTAGAAAAGAGAGCTCGAGGAAACTTCACGCAGAGTGGTTACATTTACTGCCCAGAAGAAAAGCAAGGGGTCATCCCAGCATTTACTCAAAGGGTCGAGGGAAACTGGACGAAAAACACGATCCATATAGGTTAATCAAGTCGCCGAGAAAACATAGCAACTGATATCGGACATTACGACACTTGGTTTTGGGGTATCAACGAGCTATATCACGTATACCTCCCGCAAGGACAGTACCAGCCCACTAGAACCGTTGTAATTTTTTTGGTTCGATAGCTGTACGGGAGAACCGCGGTGCCGCAATGAGGAACGGACGATTAGCCCAAACCGCGCGGCAGAGGAGGAGGTCACTGGGGTTGGTACACGGGAAATCCAAAGGGCAGTGGAATACGGTGCGAGGTAACGACGCGCCTCGAAATGTCAGCGCTTTATGTGACAACAACGCTGCTAGCGAGAAGGTAGTCTAAGAAGGGACCATTTTGACAGATCGGAAAACAAAAGAAAATCATATTGGACGATGATACCGCCTTGAAATTGTGCCGAAAGCATTTACAAATGAGCCAACTGCAACCGAACGCCTGAACTAATTTAGCACAAGGCCATAACCTGCAGTTATGCTATCAACAATAGCTAAGCAGTAGCTGTCAAAGCGGTTCTTTCTTGTAATACTCTCTCAATACGCTGGCGCGGTGCGCCACCCTTGCTGACCCGACAGAGGCTGATGCAAACTTCCCGTAGCAGCGGGAAGTCGATCGTGTTTCGGTGTTATTTAAAAACAGATGTTATTATAAAAACAATGTTGATCCGTCTACCTAGGGTGCAAATGGAGTTAACTTCCGTGTGTGGGTAAAACTCACAATGCAAACTAGGTGTCTTGTAAAATAATGAAATTTTTAGTAACAGAAAAATTCTCGTACTTTTTCGCAACAGATTCCTGTATCTTGCATACAGACAGTTAATGAAAAATGCCCCAAACAGGTATTCAATTTGTTGTAGCAACGTGGAAGTTTATTGCATAACTACCCACACAGACCGCTTTATCATAAACAAGTTCAATCTAATATTTCCCCGTTTCCATACAAACACGTTCATTCCGACTATGCTAACTTTGTTGTGAGTTACAATATTTTTTTCTGTAAGTTAAAAAAGATGTTTTTTTGAACACATTTCATTTCATAACTAAAAATGACAATTTTTGAGACGGGTCACTTTTTTTGAGCACTGACGAATTGTTTCCGTCGATAAACAAATACGTGAACCGAACGTTAAGATAATGGGGAGAAATGTTTACAAGGCATACTTTCCAATTAGCCAATTTAATCACAAAATAAGCAAAAAGTTCAGAGACATTGTAAATAGAAGTTTTTATTGGCTTTTGTAACACTAATGTTCATGTACATATAATATTCCGAATATTCATCTCATCTCTATTGCGTTAAAAGTAGTCCTGAATACTTTGGCAAAATAATAATTCCACTCATTAATTTAATACGTTTATCTTGAAAATGCTTTACAGGTCTTCCTATTTAAAGAAATTTAACCATCTAACAATAAAATATACTTACATTTTCATGTTTAAACCTTGTGAGGATCTTTATTTCTCGGAGTGTTCTTTGGCAGTAGGTCTGGTGTTCAAAGGGAGATATTTTCTTGATAGCCACTTTAGTTTTTGTTACGTTGTCGTAGGCAGATCTGCAACAAGAGAGAAGAAAACAGGTAAGTGGACGCGAGCAGAGTGCGCGAAGCGCTGCGAGGCGGCGAGTCCTTGAACTTCTACGCTTGCCAGGGATCAAAGTAGAAGCTCAATGGACTGGAACAGGCGCTATTGCACACACGCACACACATACATACGCACGCGAGCGCGCACCAGTGGCAGTGGAAAACCGGAGGCTCAGCCAGGCTCCTTTGGCGCTTCGCGCACTCGCCTCGAAGATGCCCTTTGCGACCAACCCCACAGATTCACGCACTGGAACGAATTCCCACCTGAACACCACCCGGGACCTAGCGCGCGCGCACACACACACACACACACACACGCCCACGCAGACGAAAATGACGCTTCTATACAATAGAAGTAACAATTACGGTGGACAGCAATTCGGCAAGTGGAACAGTTTAATGATTGTGTATCAAAGCCCGATAAGATGCAATATTTTCCTAAGAAGCACACTTAAAATAACGTATTTGCATTTCTATTTCCACGTTGCTAGTTGTATTAGACTATATCGGTTACAGTCACTGACCACTTTGTAAACTCCATCTCACTCGGATGTCTCGTCGATTCATGAAAGCCCTGGAACTTAGCGGGGAAAGAGCGAGAAGTGAGTGGGGAAGGAGTGAGGGAGCTGGAATGGAGAAGGAAAAGCAGTGGGGGCGGGCGTGCGCAAAGATGGAAAAGGGCAGACGAGTGAGTGGGTGGGAAAAGGAAGAGAACGTGAGGGAACGGGGAGAGAAAGGCTCTGAAAACAAGGAGAACGGAAAAGGAAATGTAGAGGGATGGGGGAGATGAGGGGAGGAAGGAAGGTGAGGAGGACAGGAGAGGGAAATGGAGGTTGAGAAGAGGGGGGCAGGGGAGGAGAGGAGATAAGAGAAGAGAGTAGAGCGGAGAGTGTGGAAAGAGAGGAAGGCGGCTGTGGAAAGAGAGGAAGGCGGCTGTGGAAAGAGAGGGAGGAGAATAGGGAAAGAGCGTGTAGAGGATATGGAAAAATAGCAAGGAGGAAGAGGACAGAGTGAGTAGGGACCGGACTCAGCTAAGCGCAAAAGCTGAGAAGAAGAGAAAGCAGAGTGGGAGATGAGAGTGGGAAGAGACCTGTAAGAGCGAGGAGAGAGTGGGGATGGAGAGGGCAATGAAGGAGTGGAGAGGGATAGGACGGTGAGGAGGGAGCGGTGAGGGATGAGACGGCGGCGAGGACGATAAGAGGAGAGATGAAGAGGAGGAGGATGGAGCGGAAAGGGACGGGGAACGGCATGCGAGTTGAGAGAGAGGGGGGCGAGGAGGGAACGGATAGGAATAGGGAGGGGGCGAGGAGGGAGGAGAGAGGAAAGGGAGAGGGGGAAGATGAGAGGAATGGGCGAGCGAGAGGAGGGAGTGGCGAGGAATTGGGAAAAAGTGGAGGAAGCGGAGAAGGATGAGGGAGAGCGAGTAGAGATCAGAGGGACGGGGAGTGTGAGGAGGTAGCGGAGAGGGATGGGGAAGGTGAGGAGGAACAGGGGAGGGAGATGAGAAGGCGACATGGGAATGGGGGGTGTCGGGGGACGATGAGGTGAGAGCGGGCACGTGCTCTTGCACGCTCGGCGCAGTAAGCGAACTTTGCAAATATCCCCGAAATAAATCTTGGTGTCACTGACACTAGCCCTTCTAAGGGTGCGGTTGCACGAAAGCAGTTCTGCATAAAAAATATTACGTATAATATCACACTACTACAGTAGAATCATTACTTTGAGAAGTACAGAGCAAATAAGCACAGTTTCGGGAGTCTTTCTTAAAAGAAATATAGCTTTTGTTCTTCAATGCAAACGAACGGCTTCCATTCAGTTCACCTATTGGAAAATACTGCCAATCACCACACAGAGACACGGACGCTTCGAAAGTGAGGGATGGCTTTAATTAGAAGTCACCAGAGGCAGTGACAAACAATTTGGTGGAAGTTTAATAACAGGTGCAATACATCAGTAACACTGCGCATCGGGAGAAACTGCTGAAGCAGCAAAAAGAGTCGATTAAAAAATACGCTAGCAGAGCAATTATTTCAAATCTTGACATCGCGCAATTGTTTACTGTCAGCTCCCCTCCGCAAAAAAATCCCTCTCTTTAGTCAGCGTTTTGTTCTTTAATTTCGGCGTTCGTAGCCCTTTTTGTCAGATTCACTGTCCATTCAACTTTTTATAATACACCATCCTTAGTAAAACAGCTGTGGTGAAAAATTAAAGAAAAAAATGAAAATATCTTTACTATTTTTTATATTGAAGGAGTCGGACTAACCAGTTTCGTTCGCTTGTAAAATAATCAAAGAATAGTTCAATAAAACATACCAATGTTCTAGAAAAAAGCTTGGAAGTATTTTTCGGTAGTTGAATCTGAAATCGGACGCGGTATAATCGACGCGCAATGGAGATATCTGGTATACGTTCGTGCAGTACAATCGCCTATATGTCATTGTTAATGTGGAAATATATATTTTTTACACATAGCGAACATTTTAGTAATTATGATACTTCTTATTCATCTTAATGTATGCCCTAAACTAGTTTTCAATATAATATTCAACCGAATCCTTCATTTTATGAGTTGCGCATGACCTCGGTAAGATATCCCACCAGTCCGCTTAGACACGCTGCAATTAATTGCGTGCAATTCCAGCATCTGGACACAGCCTGTCGACATGAGAACGTTTATGTTGCCGTGTTCGCCACTTCACACACGGTGTAATCGTTGCATGTGGCGGTTGCACGGTTCACGTCGCTTGATCTCTCGCCGTGCAACAAACAAACATACTCCACATACTGCAAGCGGCAACACGTACATGAAGCAGACTTCAAAGTGCACAGCAGTCTCTAGCGCGTGTGCAGGCTGCGATAGCTCAGCGACAACTCCGTTGCCTCTTTAGCCTCGTAACCCGACAGGTCATACGTGTTCGAGTCGTGACGGTGGCGGATTTACACTAGGCCTCATAGCTGGGACGAATTCAACCGCCTAGAAAATAATTCGAGCACCCTGCTCCTCTAACACACTCTTCCTCCTACTCTCTGCACTTTTCCGTGGTTTCCTCTGTCAATACCTGGAGAATTATCGAGCAGTACCCTCACAAACGAGCCATGGGTCTTGCGTGATATTTTCCTCCTTAGTAGGAAGTGGGGCGGGTTTTTTGACATTATCACAATTGGAAATGGATTCATCACGCATAGCTTTGTCTCGGCAATTTCGTTTTTTCGGCCACATTGCCACCATCTTCAGTGCTACAAAATAAGAGAAATAACGTGAACGAGAACAATTAACAAGTTATTTTGTAATTCTTTGTTCAATTTGTAATTTTCCATCAAAATATTCCACTTACATATTTTTGCTCACTGTAATGAGATATTTCTAGTATTTTCTTCCGTACCAATTTTAATATAAATATAAATATATATATATATATATATATATATATATATATATATATATATATATATATATTGTAGCACTAGACATGGCTCTAATGTGACATAACTGCGCCTGATATTTCCATTTCTTTCTCTTATTCTTGCCCCCACGCTCTTCCTTAAGACACACACGCACGCATATTTACTTGTACTTCGCTATCACACATGTCGGGAGATCAGTGAGGAGATTGGAGCATAACCTGGCCGGGGGCCCCGCTGGGGAAGATCCGTGGAGGGCAACGAAGAAGCCGACGTGGAGGTCGGCACCGGATATCGCTTCAACGGGGAAGGAACACAACCACATCCCGGGGCATAACACGCACATTTATATGATTAATGATCTACGTAGGGAACGTGTATGCAATCAATACATACCCAAACGCACACCAAGCCTTAGAAACAAGCGGCCGAACACCAAGTCTTAGAAACAACAAACTTGTCGGATGTAGGAGAATAAACTGGACTAATAGGTTATTTATCCTTTGTCCCATTAGAGGCAAAGAAAGTCTTCAACTAAATCAAGATCACGACTATCTACCTACTTATTCAACGAAACTGATTTTTTAAGCGTTCTTAAAATGTTTGTGGAAAAAAACGCAAAAGAAAGATATTTCCGAGAGCTCATTTCCAAGATATCTGAAATAGAAACTCATCCCAATAACACAAATTCGTTTTCTTTCCTTTCCCCAAAGGTCCGCTATAGAGACCCTGGGACGAGACAGGCGGCCTACATCATAATGTTTAACTGAAAATCTCAAGTTTTGGACATCTTATTCCCCAACCACTGCCCACTTGTTAACGTTCGAATCCAGTGCTGTAATACTCCGCGGTGCGAGCGACCAATTAGGATGCCGGGCGGTCGGTCTGCATACACCGGTCCACAAAATTATATTTACTTCACATGAAAGTACATCATTCTGTGATTAATTTAAATGTTGTATTTTTCTGTGGGAAACAGTAGATGGGTGAAAAATGTTTAAACCTAAGTTCGCGAAGGATTCATCCGAAAAAATGGCAATATTTCCGACAGGAGTGGGACTTGAATGTAGGATTTCAACTGAAACCCTCAAAGTTTCAAGTTGATAAAAAATAGTGATGTTACGAGTGTGCGATTTTAAGTCAAATTTCAAAATAAATTCAAAAAGATTAGTGTAAACCCTGTTACTACTAATAAATAAGTATTAATATTTCATCTAAATAATACGACTGAAGGAAGTATCGCGATGTATATCAAGTTTTCATTAGTGAAAGATGTAGTCACTTCATAAATAGAGTTAGAATAGAATAGAAACTGTTCATGTACGTCTGCCAGTTACCACACACTTGCAGGGAAAAAGGTTTTTGATAAATTAAATGTATACAATGATTATAGTAGTCTTCAATTACACAGTATAACGGATCTTTTGGCAATTATTTTGCCCACGAATAAAATAATACAATATTCTTTAAAAGTTTTCTATATTAACGCCTGCCAGAAGAACAACAAAACTGTTTCAAATCATGCCAACACATGTCAAACAAAAACCAAACAATTCTCAAAAATTAAATCT